AGAGAGAGAGAGAGAGAGAGAGAGAGAGAGAGAGAGAGAGAGAGAGAGAGAGAGAGAGAGAGAGAGAGAGAGAGAGAGAGAGAGACCCACCTCATCGTAGCCAGAGAGCCAAACCCTTGGCGTCTGATAGAACTTGTCATACCTGCACCCATAGAGAGCCGGGAGGCGGGGTGCATGGTTATCTGAGTAATGCATGCCTGCTTAGAGGACGTCCAAGAATTTGGCAAAATGTCAAAGGACTCCAAACTAAGAGCTGACGAGTGTTGAGTTTTCATAAGTTGAATGATTATGTGTATTTGCACTTCATTTTAGCAAGAGTTCTGGAGTGTAAACATTTTAATGTCATTCATCCACACCTTAACCAGAGCATACATCCTGTACCCCATTGAAAAAAAAGTGACAATAACTTGCCTCACTAGATATTGATACCCCTAGAAAAACAAAATATAACCCGGGGATGTCAAGCAGGCCGTGCCAGGCACACTATACATATAATGCTGTGTCGAAACTTCTTCAAAAGATATTTGATTCCGTAGATCGTAGCGAATAAAAAATAAAACATAAAAAAGAAATTGGAACCACAGTTAGCACTCTTAGCAAGTCGAATGGACACACTGGAATGAGACCACCATGCAGACATGAGTTCCACATAACACTGCACTCGCACGAGACGCACGACGTCCAAGAAAGTCTCTGAAATCACTACAAACTTCGTCAGCAGCGGCCATGGCCGCTCAACGCAGCATGCACGTAAGTCTCTATCTCTTCTCTCTCCTTGCTCTCGCTCTCACCGCACAGTTCTTGCTCGTCTCTCACAATGTCTTCCTCTCTCTCACACTCCAACTATGGCTATGGCGCCCAGCGCTGTTGACTACACTGCACTACGCTCACTCTCACTGACTTCGTTGCCTCCCCAACACAAGACCGCAGCGACGCTTCCGCATTGAGTGCCCAACACCCTGTGTCATAGTCCAGGAGGTGCTGGACTTTTTTACTTGCTGATCTGCCTTCCAGGCATCTTCTGGTGGTTATGGGTTGGCTCCCCTTTCTTTAGTTTGCCGCTTCTGAAAGCTTACGGATTCTCTTTGGATCTGGCTGCTTGGTTGGACTTACTGACACCTAGCCTAACCTCCAAAGTAATCTTCCAAACGAGAACTACATTTCTGGAGGACTTGTGAATACCGTACGAGTGGTCGAACCACTAATGGAACTCGGAATCACGACTGCGACCTGGGACTCGGGACTGGGATCTGGGACTCGGCATTCTGTTACTCCTTTCGGCGCATTCTGTAGCAGGTCAAACAACGTAGCAATTCAAATTTCAGACGGCTGGCACACAAGTAGGAAGGATGCAGCAGAACACTGCCAACGCAGTGGAAAAGACGGTGTTTATACCCCTCCGAGGATTATCAGGGGGCTTCCAGAGATTATATAAGTGCACCTCTCCTTAGGAGTGCTTATTTCGGGCGAGGATGGGGAAAGGAGGGCGGGGGGCGGGGGGGGGGGAGATGGTTGTGTGGTGGGATGGGGATGGGGGCGGGTGCAGCAAAGGGAGCGAGGGCATCATATGGAGTTTCTAGTTCATGAATAGGGCTTTAAACCACCAGTACACGGCCTCAGCCTTGCAGAGAAAAAATTTCGCCACCTACTCCGAAAACTTTGCGGCTCAGTCGATTCTGATCCGTACTTTGGGGCTTCAGGCCCTGCCGCGCGCGCACAGCCTAGAACCGGCACCCTCAGCCACAGGAACCAAGTCTCTTAACCACTACAGCCCCGACGCAGTGTTCAAAAGTGGAACCATACCGGTCCTGGTATCCACCCCACCCCTGCAGGGCTGTAATGTCCAATGCACACACACCACATGGACACCGCAATTCACGAACACTTCGCTCCAGCAGCACGCGACCCACCACTTCTACTTAAACCAGTCACATGCTCATGCCTATTGGACCACAATGGCTAGCGGCGCCATCGGAAAAAGAAAAAAAAGGTGAGCTGCTGGCAGTTCGGAAAAGCTTGGCGTGCAGTGGTCTAAATGGTCTGCTGGCACAGAATCAAAGCACGATGCGGTACTTTAAACGTTGCAAGGACTCAGGACCAGTGAACAGGAGCATAACAAAAGTTCGAGATCCGGGTATACACTGTGCAGGTCTGCGAGCTGGGAAACGAATCAGTCACTTACGTGAGACTCAGATCGTATGTCCGGGTTCTGAGAATGTTGTCTTCCTCCGGCTCCTTTGCAACCAGATAGGTAGACTGCAGCATGGCCTGGACAGAAGATATCAATGAGGCATTGTCAGACTTCAAAAAAAGAGCGTAAAAAACAAGAAAAGAGATTGCTCATGGATGATTGATATGAATTCCTGAGAACAAACACATCGTTGTTGTTGCTGTTGCCGTCCAGAGGAGACAAGTGCAATGAGATATAGGGCCTCGATCCACAAACACTCCAAATGTGCACAATGGGAGTGAATCTTCCGCTAAAACATGGAAAGATACACCGCCATGATTTTTGTCTCGTTTGTGCATGTTGTGAGCAGTGGAGCGACGCCCATAACTTTTTATACATGCTCCAAATGTTCCTGAAGAGAGTACACAAACAAACACAAACAAACAAAGCTCAGGAGCTCGCATCTTTCAAAAAGAGAACTGCCCGGTTTGATAATGCGCCTCACTCCACTACTCACCAAATGTGCAAAACGCGAACGGATCTTCCGCTAGAACATGGGAAGATAAGCAGCCATATTTTTTTTGTCTTGTGTGCATGTGGTGAGCAGTGGAGTGAGGCCCAATCTCCTGGGTATATCAATCCTCCAGGTTACATATATGTCCTCAAATTTTCAGATTTTCACGCATTCATTGAGAAATGGTCCAAATTGACAAATTGGCAAATTAAAAAAAAAAAAAAAAAAAAAAGTCAAATTTTCAGTCTCTTCAGCCACTGTTCATATCACGACTTCAACACAACTCCCTGATTTCTTTCCTTTTTCTTTTTCGTAAAAGGCGGTAAGCGCTGACATTATTAATGTGTTCACGACTCAAGTGATCTCAGGATTCGAACTCGTGACCTGTTTACCAACAGGTACATGTTCGCACCATCCAGTCACATGCGATTCCTACAACTCCCCGAATTCTCTAAGTACCTCAAGCCACGATTCTGGTTATCAGCAAGATTTGTTCACTTGTCCTACACCCATAAATTGAGAGAGGGTCCAAACTGGAAAAAAAAAAGATTTGTTCGCCGACTACAGACAGTTGTATTCTCTGCGCAACAAGGCTGACACCGGCCTCGACAGTCACCAACTGCAAATCTGCAACTTTGAGGGACAGGTTTGATATTTCAGAAAGCTTTGTAATACAGGTTTGACTTTCCAAAAAGCTCTTTGAGACTGGTCTGACTTTCCAGAAAGTTTTGACCATTTGAGACAGGTTTGACTTTCCAGTCACGTTTGACTGTTTAGATAGTCTTGACTTTCACAAGAGTTCGACTTCCCAGAAAGCTTTGACTTTTTGAGACAGGTTTGACCTTCCAGACAACTTTGACTTTTCAGACAGCTTTTGACAGTCCGCCAGAACGAATCTGCAGCTTGCCTAGAGGTTCTATGGACCCTTCATCTGTGATACCAGATGCAGCGCAGTCCAGACAGGTTCTCTCCCTACAATCTGACAGAGCAAAGGAACTTGGGCAAGAAGTGAGCAGTCATTACCAACACTACCTGACTGGCCACTGAGCAGTACAAACCCATAACTAACACTGATCATCTAACAGGTTAACAATTCAAATCATTGCCGGCAACAAAGAGCATAACAAACTCCCCGTTGAGAGAGAGAGAGAGAGAGAGAGAGAGAGAGAGAGAGAGAGAGAGAGAGAGAGAGAGAGAGAGAGAGAGAGAGAGAG